GCTCTGATACCAACTGATACGAACCCCGCCAACGTGTGACGAAACCCGTAGCCAAATATGGGGATACGATCCAAGATCTTCAAGAATTGATGGAAACCGCAACCCGTTGCTTAGCGAAGCAAGAACCTTGGTATGGTGAAGACGCCACAAACGAGTATGGAAATTCCGTTTGATAAGTCAAGGGTGAACGCCACAAGGAAAACCTTGATAAGTTCAGAATAGTTCTTCAAGAACTAAGAAGAATATCTCACAAAGTGAATAAACATCAAAAACTCTTTATTAATTTCATTTTTCAGCCTTAAATAGCCGAAAACAAACTGAAAAGGTTTAAAAATTGAAAAGTCATATTCTATCTTTAATGAGATAGAAGCCTAAAATAAGATAAACCTAAAAACAAGATAAACGCAAGCCTAAAGCTTATCCTAGGGAAGGAATCCGAATTTGACTCCAACTCCTTCCTAAAAAACGCCTAAAAACTTATCATAGGGAAGGAATCCGAATTTGAATCTAATTCCTTCCTTAAAAACGCCTATGATGGAAGTTATGATAAAATCAACTCTTTATCCGCAATTTGACTTGGTCCCTTGCTGGAAATTGCGCCTAAGCCTCTTGGAATATGCAAGTTGGCCATGCAATTGGCTTGATGGACGTTTAAGGTTGATTGTCTTTCTTCCGGATTGACTTTGATGGCTATGTTCTCATCAGAAGAGGTGTCAACTTCACAAGCCTTATGCATCTGTCAATAACATGAGAGATTCTGACAAAACATGAGTTACATCAGGAGGCAAGACGCTCCGGAGGTGGATTACTTCCGGCGGCAAGAGGCTCCGAAGGGTGATTGCTTCCGGTGGACGGAAACTCCTGAGGCAGATTACATTTTAAGATGGGAGGCTCTAGAGGTAGATTATTCTGTCCGATCATGACTCCCATTAACCACCATGGCTTTTTCTGCGACGACTTAAAATCTTCTTGAAGAATCAGAGAATTATCCTTTTTGCTAGTGGGCAAAAGCTGCAAAGTTAAAGTATCATAAACATTGGAGTAGGAATCAATCAGTTTCTTAAAACGAGCGAGAGAGAGAGAGAGATTACCAAGATCGACACTCAGATACCTGCTTTCTATTTCTGCTTTAGGAGCCTTTAAACAAGATGATAAATGCGTGAAACGTAGATAACTAACAAAATGAGAACTTACCATCATGAAAAGGCAAGTTCCTGAAAAACCATCCCTCTGTGCTCGAAGTTTCTGAACTCATCAAAGCTCGCGCAACCTGGACTGAGTACAATGTCATCTCCTGCCGTGACAAAATTTTATTATTTTTTTAACTTGTTGTTTATAAAGATATGTTTAAATCATTCTTATTTAATATAATGAGCCAAGCAAAATTTCACCAACCCCTTTACTAAGATCTGATAATTTTAAGAGTTCCAGTCAATTATAAAAGTTAGATATGAATTATAAGGTCACTTTTAATCTGATTTTTATTTGAAACAAATCAACTATTGAGGCAACTGCTAAAGCGATAACAGAAAGACGAGGGATTACGAGTCATAACATGTCGTGTGAAGACATGACGAGATATCAGTGTATCACCAATAATTCAAAGATGGTAAGAGAAGGAAATGAAAGAGTAGCAAGTTTTTTAACAACTAATCTAGCATGGGAGAAACCAAGTTACTAACCATGCTTTGCCATCCGTCTTGCACGGCTGATGGCTTCTGCCATATTTGTAGCTTTAATACAGGGGATTTGAAGACCATGCTCAAACAATGTCCTCTGAATCACCGTTCCTGAAGACCGAAACTTGAATATCCACAAATAGCATAAACATGTTGATAAGACCAGATCTAGTGCGTAGTAGATTCACACAGCAATGCAAGACAATGGAATGGAAAATCAATTAGACTGAATTATATGCTGCTTTACGGAAGAAGGAAATACAAGAGATATAGGGGTGTTCAAGTGACCCCTTGCACTCCCTAGAACAGTAGCTCGTCTAAGAAAACTCAATTACAATCTCGATGCCCTTCCCAGCCTTCTTCCTTCTGGTTTTACTCATTTCTTCCTCACTAACTGTTTCCCACTTCCCTCTCCTCTCCCGAGGTCTCTCGAGAGATCTGGACTATTACGCATTCCCTGCAGCAACTCTTTCTCCAACTTTTCTCGCTCCTTCCATGTCAGCCTCTTTTCCTCTAACATCAGCCTCCGCCTCACCATCTTCCACAACACCTTTTTCTGCCACATCACTCGACTGTCTTTGGGCCTCCTCCTAGCGTAAGTGAAATGTAGTGGAGGTCTAGGGGGCCCATCAATACCCCCGGCCCAAAGATGCACCTTGTCCGCAAGGTGGAAATCTGGAAATGCTGCATGGATGCGGTCAAAATTCTCCCAGCTGTCCTCATGATCCGGTAGGTGCTCCCAGTGAATAAGGACTTCTAACTCCATTGTAGACCCACGAGAGGCTTGGCGAACGCCCTACAGCGCAGCCGACTAAACTTGG